GCCCTCCAAGAGCCCTGTCAAACAGCAGCACCCTTGCACAAGAAACGCGCCAGGTGAGGGCACAGGAGCTGCCCCAGACAGAACGGCGAGGCTGAGCTCTGCCGGGGCTCCAGGCTCTGTCCCAGGGAGCTGCTGAGAGGGGAGCGTGGCCACGCTCCCATTTTCCAGGGAATTTGTGCATTGCCATGGCCTGAATGTGGACACAGCTCCACAGCATAGAAGGAAGAGCTGCTTCACTCAGAAGGTCTTAGTTGGAGGTGAGAAAGGAATAAGGCAAACCTTTCAGAGGTGTTGTGCTGTAGCAGCCAGGGTGAGGACTTGGATATTATTAGAAAATGCATTAAGAGAAGCCTGCATGGAGGGTCTGAGCTGATGGGAGCTTTAAAAAACGTGTATTTAATTTCAATATGAAGACTATGCTGAGCAAGGAATTCTGGCTGGGAATTTTTCGTGTTTGAGAATTGGGAAGCCCCTGGGTGCTTCGTCTTTGTCCTCAGCAGGGATGAGTCTGGGGTGTCCAGGACAAGGGACGGCGGCGCTTGGTAATGGCTGTGGAACGAGCCCCAGAGGGAACACCCTGCCCCGGGAAAGGGCTCCGGCATCCCGGCTTTGCCCCCTCCCTGATGCCCAGCAGGGCAAGGTGTCACTTCGTTTGTGAAACACGAGGATAGGAAAATCAGGATGACTCAAATGTCACACGCTATCCCTCGGCTCCCGCAGCCCAGGGGCAGCTCCCAGAGCTGCGAGCAGCAATTCAGAGCTCAGCGTTCCCCGCCCGCCCGCCCGGTGCCGCCGCTGGCGGGGGGAGAGCCGGGGGGACCGGGCTGCTCCGGGGCACGTCCCGGGAGCCGGGTCACGCCTCGTGGGCATCGTCACGCCAGCCCCGGGGCGGGACCTGTCCGCAGCCGCCGGAGAGAGCGAGGGAGCGGCGGGAGGCGGCGAGCGGGGCTGCGGCAGCGGCGGGGGCGAGCGCGGGCTAAAATGGCCACGGCGGGAGCGGGCGGGGGCTGTGCCAGGCGGAACGGGCTCATCCCGGGCTGTGCCATGGGATACGGGTTCATTCCGGGCCGTGCCATAGGGTACGGGCTCATTCCGGGCTGTGCCATGGGGTACGGGCTCATCCCGGGCTGTGCCATGCGGTACGGGCTCATCCCGGGCTGTGCCATAGGGTACGGGCTCATCCCGGGCTGTGCCAGGCGGAACGGGCTCATCCCGGGCTGTGCCATGGGGTACGGGCTCATCCCGGGCTGTGCCAGGCGGGACGGGCTCATCCCGGGCTGTGCCATAGGGTACGGGCTCATCCCGGGCTGTGCCATAGGGTACGGGCTCATCCCGGGCTGTGCCAGGCGGAACGGGCTCATCCCGGGCTGTGCCATAGGGTACGGGCTCATCCCGGGCTGTGCCATGGGGTACGGGCTCATCCCGGGCTGTGGCAGGCGGAACGGGCTCATCCCGGGCCGTGCCAGGCGGAACGGGCTCATCCCGGGCTGTGCCATGCGGAACGGGCTCATCCCGGGCTGTGCCATGGGGTACGGGCTCATCCCGGGCTGTGCCAGGCGGAACGGGCTCATCCCGGGAAAGGGGAAAGGGGGAAAGGGGGAAAGGGGAAAGGGGGAAAGGGGGAAAGGGACAGCCGACCGCACCGGGAAACGCGGGGAGAGGCAGGGGAGCGGGCAGCCCTCGGCCCCGGCGTTGGGGAGAGCGGTCCCGACCCCCTGAAAATGCCCTTTGTGATGGACTGGGCATGGTGTGTCAGAAGATGAGGGTTAGGGGGGTCCCCCTCTGAATTTCTGGGTCCCTGTGTCCTGGTGCCGCCCCATCTCTTGCACCCCTTCCCAGTGCCGCTGCCTCTGAGGGGAACGGGCTCCTCAAGTTCGGGGAGCTGCTCGGGAAGAAATATTTTATATTTTGTCTGAAAGAAAAAAACAATGGAGCGTCGGGTTCTTATAAATACCCAATACACGGTTAGGGGAGCGGAAGTTTGCTCTGTATCAGGGAGCCACGGAAGCATCTCAAAACACAAAATAAATGGTAATATTCACACGTGCTTGGAAACGTTAATTTTCACACGTTAGTATTTCCACAGGGCTGAGAAATGAAGGCTGAAGCGTTGTCCCCGCTGCACGCACCCATTCGGCGCGCGGTGCAAGGCAGGCTGGCATTTCAGCATCAGGAATGTGCGCTGGATCCAGCACGCTGTGACACTGCCCTTCTTCCGCCTGCCTTCTGCTGGCACATGAAGCCACCAGCAGCAGACAAACCCTGGGATTCACGGTGCCTTGTGCAGGGGGGAGGCGGCGGCGCTCGGGCAGCAGCCGTGCCACCCCTCTCCCCGGCGGCCGCTGGAACGATGCCTTATCTCGAGTTTAAGGGCTCAACCTGACCCTGAGCCATTTTTAACCCGAGGTGGGAAGAGCCCTCCCTGGGCGTCTCTTTCTCTGCTCTGAAAAATCTTTCAGTGGCTCCACGGTCGCCGATTTCCTGGTGTTTTTCCTTTTGTAGCTCCGCCGCCTGAAGCAGACCCACTTTCTCAGGGTTTGATGCTCTGCTGCTTGAAGATGCTTTAACTCTCAGGACTTAGAAATAACTCCTAGAGCAGAGCCCCAGCAAGAAGGCGTCTAATCTGATATATTCCATTTCCATATTTTGTGCTGTAAGCAGCAATTTGTGGTTCAGCAGCAGCGGCTGAGCAGGGACGAGCATTATCACAGGAATGAATTCCTTCCATCTCGTGCCTGAGTATGTGACAAATAAGTCTCGGTCGTGGCATTGTCTTTCCGCTCTCGGGCTGTCAAATTTAACTTCGCTTTCTTTCCTCCTGCCTTTGCCCTGTGCCTCCCCCGCTCGCCACCCGCGGTCCCCGTGGCTGGGAATGGCCGCTGGTGCCACGTCCCAAGCGCTGGGAGACCAGGACGCAGAGCTGGGGGGCTCACAGGGGCCGGGACCAGCAGCCCCCCCGTGCCCGTGGGCCACCAGCGGCCAGCCGGGGACTCAGCACAGCCCGCTGAGAGCTGCGGCTCCACGGGCGGGGATCCTGCGTGGGGGTGCTGGGACCGCGTCACAGAAGGGGCTGCGATGAGCGGGGGCTTTGCAGGGAACCAGCCCGGCAGCCGCTTGGTGCGGGGCTGGGGGGCTCGGACACCTCTGGGGTCCCGGACCTTCCCCCGCCGGGGCAGGGCGAGCTCTCCAATGGCTCCCGAAGCGTCCCCTGCTCCCGGAGAGCAGCCAGAGCAGGAGGAGCCGAGGAGCCAGGGCTGAGGCGGCCCGGGGGACGGGGACCCCCCCCTCCAGCAGCCGGTTTGCGCTCAGGGGTTTGCGCTCTGCCCCCGTGCACGTTCAGCACTGCCCGAGGAGCTCCGGCAAAGCTCCGCGGCGGGCACCGCGGGTGGCGCCGCTCTCTCGGTGCCAGCGGGAGCTGGGGCACTCGGACAGGGACAGGCACGGGGACAAGGACAGGGACGGCACCGCCGCCGGTGAGGGCTGCCCGCGGGTGCGGGGGAGCGGAGGCGGAGCGGTACTGCTCGGTGTGTGGCACTGGTGAGCCCGCTTTCGCGTGGAACAGCCTCCGCGAGCTGAGAGAGACATTGAAATATTGGAGAGGAGTCGGGCAGAGACGCGGGGATGGCGGGGGGAGCCCCAGGGGGAGCCGCGGGGGTGCCCGGCCTTCCGAAGGGAAGGTGAAGGACATCTGGATCAGCCCGAAAAGTTCTCCCAGGCAGGAAATTCAGAGGCTCGGCTGAGCTTTAACCCAGTAAATGCAGACATGGCAGGATCCAGCGGCTGAGTCCGCACCAGCAGGAGCTGGAGCTGGAATGCGATGCCATTTTCACCGCGTCAGAAAAAAAACATCCAGGTGGGAGGGCAGAACCCGGTTTGCCTGGCATGGCCGGGAGAGAATCCCTGGATCCAGCCCCAGGCTGCTGCGGCAAAAGTCGAACAGAGAGGGGGGTGAGCCTGTGGGACAGGAGCGGGCAGTAGGGGGGCTGTGGTGGCCCCCCAGTCTAAAGCCCCGGTATTTTATGCACCTCATGGTCCGCCGTGCCCTGCTGGGCTGTGCCTTTATCAGCGGCTTTTACAAGGTGATTAATCCCTTCTCTCCAGGGCGCTGCCCGCACATCACCGCACACGGGAGGGGAGAGGCGGCTGCGGCGCGGGGCTCTCCCTCACCGGGGGCTCCCACGAGCGGCCGCGGTGCTGCGGTCCCGAGTGTCTGACGGGGAAGAGGAGCCGAGGTGGGGCCCCCAGCCCGCCTGGGGCTCCGCAGCGCTGTTTGCTGCTGGACTGCGCACAGGGGACAGCGGGGACAGGGAGGAGGAGATGGGGACACAGAGAGCCTGGGGGGCCCGGGGCATAGGTGGGGAGGAGGGAGATTCTCCCGGGAGAAGCAGGAACGGAGCGGGGCAGGGACCAGGGATCCGCCCCGGGTGGGTGCAGCACCGGGGGCTTCGCAAGTCCCGGCGTCGAGGGGAGACGCAGAGAGAAGCCGGGGTGCTGGAGGGGGCCCCCAGGGTGGCATTCAGGATGAGGGTCCCTGCGGGCCCCCAGGCACAGGGCGAGCGGGCGATGCCGGGGACACGAGGCTGCTGCGTCCCGCCGCGGGAGAAAACGTCCCGCGGTCCCGGCAGGGGCGGGAGGAAAACGAAACGGGGCCGAGGAAGCGGGGGAGAGCGGCAGCCCGGCGCGTCTGGGGCGGGGTGCGGCCCGAGCAGGCAGGGGATGGCCGGACCGGTTCGGCCCAGCCCGGGCGGGGCTTCCATCCGCATTGCCGCAGTGACGGGCGGCGGAGCGCGGCCGGGCCGGCGGGCTCGGCGCGGCGCTGCATTGCAGCACTGCAGGAGCCCCCTCCTTCCCCGCTCCTTCTCCGCCCTCCGCCGCCGCTCGGCTCCGGAGGCCCAGCCCGGGGCACGCACCGGCCCCGCCGCGCTCCGCTCCCCCTCGCGCGGGGCATCCGTCGCCGCCGCGCCGGGGTCCCCCGCTTAGTGCCACATCCCGAGCCGGGAATGCCTCCCCGAGCCAGGAGCGCAGCCGTGGGACGGGGACGTGCACCCACCGGCGGGGTTCCGTGGTTGGTGTCCACCCGGCGCTCATCAGCCCCGCGCGGGTGGAGGGACCGGCCGCCCCCGTCGGGGCATTCGCTGTCCCGCCCGCCCGGCCCCGCGCCGCCAGCGCTGTCCCGCGGTTCGTCCCGGCCACCTCCCCCCGTTCCCCCGCCACCCTCCCCGGCCGTCTGGCCATGCCGTAAGCCCCGACGGGGTGCCCGGGCTCGCGTGGGCCGAGCACCGTCCCCACGGGTTTCCCGCGAGGGAGCCTGGGCTGGTCCCGCGGGGAGCCGGGACCGGCACCGAGCCCGGGCAAGGCTGAAGGGTGCTGTGCCGGGCGGCACGGCCCCGCGACGGACCCTCCCCGATGGGACTGTCCCCTCGGCCGTGAGGGCACGGGCGCTGCCCGTGGGGTGGGCAGAAGGCGGTGACCAGCCCCGCGTTCCCGCTCCATCGGGAAGGGGAGCCGGGAAGGGCATCCTCCTCCTGGGGCCGGCGGCCCGGGACGCGGTGCCAGCCCCGTGTCACAGGCTCCTGCATGGACCGGGGCAGTCGCGACCCTCGGGTGCCGCGGGCGCGAAGGGCAGCGAGGCCATCCCGGTGGGACGGTGCCGGCGGTGGCCGCGCGTCCCGGGACCGGCCCCGCTGCCAGGTGCGGCGCGGCGGGGGCGGGAGGGAACGGGGCCACGGGTCGCGGGGGGCGTCCGCCCCGGCACAACGGGGGCCCGTTCCCAAGGCTCCCGCTCTGTGTCTGCTTTGGGAAAACGCCAGCACGGTAACAAAATGGCGGGGAAAGGGTGGGATTGTCACGGCGAGCCCTGCGGCGGAGCCCGGCCACCCCCGCCCCGCCCGCCCGGGCTCGGGGCGCCCGTCCCGGCGGAGGGCAGCGGGGCGGGGGTCCCCGGGGCTGTGCCGCCGCCCGGTCCCGCCGCCCGCCTGAGCTCTGGTGGAGAAGCAGCTGCAGAAAATGGCTGCTCGGCGGAGCCCGCTGAATCCTGCCATGGTGGGGGGGACGGCGAGGAAGCGGCGCAGCCGTCGCCCCCCCCCGCTCCGGGGAGCCCCGGGCAGGCGGCGCGGGGCACGGTCGGAGGTTCCGCGGGGCGGCGGGACCGGAGCAGAGCCCACGGTGCCCGGTGTGTGGCCTCAGATGCGGCGCGCCGGGGGAGCGGGGCAGCTCGCCCCGAGCGCGCCCGGCCCGTACCGCCGTGCACGTGCCCGCAGCCCCCGCCCGGTGCCCGCCGAAGCAGCGGCGGCTCCGAGCCCCGGGGGGCGCGGCGGAAGGGCGGCCGGTCACCCCCCGCTGCCCGACACGCCGGAGGAGCACCAGCCCCGCAGCCGCTCTCGCCGCGCCCGGTTTTGCTTTCGGTTTAAAATAAAATAAAAATAAAATAGAGAAAAATAATCGGGCCGCGGGCACGCGGTACCGTGCGGCCACGACTTGGCCACGCATCGGCTCCGCGGCGAAGCCGCAACGAAAACTCGAGCCGGTGTCGCCGCACCGTGTCGCCGCCCCCCGCCCGTCACGGCGGCGGCTCCCCGGAGCCTGCCCGCAGGGCAAGAGCGGACACGCGTGGGTGCGCGGCTGTCGCCTGCGCGGCCGGAGTTCCCTCCCCGCCGGTGGTTTCCGCGGGTGTCTGTGGGGTGAGGGGATGTTCCGAAAACGGCACCGTGGGAGCCGAGATGGGGCGGTTCTTTCCCCACCGGAGAGCGGGAGAAGCTTCCCCCGCGGCCGGTCCGCACCGTGGCGGGTGGACACTGAGGGCGCTTCGCCGCCGTGGGGGCGCATCACGGGTGGCGCCGGCGGGCGCGGTATAAAGGGCGCCGCTGCCTTCTGTGGATGCTTCGCACAGCGTTGCCCCCCCGGCCGCCCTCGTCCGCAAAGTGCCCCGATTTTTGTGCCTCAGATCGGGGTCACCCCAGCCCGTGCAGCGCCGGGGCCCGTTCCCCCCTCGCCCACGCACGGTCCCGCTCCGCGGAGCAACGGGACCGCCCCGTCCCGCCGGCTGTCTTAGCCCGCGGTCCCTCCGGGTGCTCTGCCGCCAATGGGGCAGGCACGGTCGGCTTCCTCCGTGCCCCGCGTTGCGGAGACAGAGGACCGGTGGTCCCGCCGCACTTCGGGAGCGCCGTGGCCTCCCAAGTGCCGTCGGTGTCCACGGGAGAGCCGTGGCGAGATGGCGGGTCGGGAGCCCCGGGGCGGGAAGGGGCAGCCGGCGGCAGCGGCACCGGGCGGGGTGGGGGTCGCACGGTCGGGGGGTCCCGCCGGGAGTGTCCCGTGGGATCGGGGCGTCCCCGCTCGGTGCCCGCGGGGGTCCCGGCCGGGGCGGGGGGGGGCGCGGGGCCGCTCCCCCCCCCGCGCCGTTGCTGCGATACGGGCGGGCCAATCAGCGCTCACCAGCTCACCCGGGCCCCGGCACCGCTTCCTTATATGGTGCGCGCCGTCCGCGGGGCGCCGCGCGCATCACCATATAAGGGCATGATCCTAAATACAGCACCTACCTTGGGCCGGGGGGCGGGGCCGGGGGCGGGGCCTCGGCGCGGGCGGGGCCGGGCCGCGCCCCCCGCCCCACCGGGCCCGGGCCCGCCGCTGCCGCCGGACCCCGCCCGCCCCGGGGAAGCCGCCGCCGGTCATTAAGCGGAATGCAAATGAGCAGCCCTTCACCTCTAATTGCTTTTGTTAAAAGCGGAGTCGCGGGGCTGCGCGCAAGCGGGCGACGGCGGTGGGAACGGGCGGGGACGGAGCCGGGACAGAGCTGGACTGGGTGAAAGACGGGGGTAGCGGCAGCCCCGGGCGGCTCGATTTGTCTCATTTGTCACATCCCAGCCCGGTTCCCCCCGCGGAGGGGCCGTGGCCACCGGAGCCGCTGGACCGCCCTCCGCGTTCTGTCCCGCCCTGGGGGGGCCCTCGCGTGGCCGCTGCCCACGCGTGACACTCCCTTGGCCGCTGCAGGGACAGATCCGTTCCGTCCTTCTGCCGTCCTTGCACGGTCAGCAGCCGGCGGCACGGAGACGCGCCGACTAGACGGGGTGCAGGAATACCCCGGAACATTCCCGTTTCCTCGCCCCACGCTGTATTCGAGCCGGTTCCTCTCTCTCCCCATCCGCAAACAGCTCGTGTTTATGTTCCTACAAATAATGAGCAAATTCAGAACCCCCGGGAACAAAAGATCTTTTGTGCGGAGCGCTCGGAGCCTGGAGCGGGCGATAAACGACGCCCCCCGGCCCGCCGCCCCCGGGAGCGGCACTTTCCCCCCCGGGCGGTTCGAGGCGACCCGCGGAACCGCCGCGCCGGGGGCGGCGAGGGGCTCCGGTATGTGCCGGCACGCCCGCAGAACCGGGAGCGGGCGCTTTGCCGTCGGGGCGCTCCGTGGGCGCTCCCCGCGGGGATCCCGCCGTTCGCTCTGGCCGGAGCGGGGGCTCAGGGCACGCCGCCCCCAAGAACCGGTGGCTGCGGGACACGCGTGGGTTCGGCCGATGGGGGAGAATCCCCAGCCTTCGTGGGTCTGTGCTTCTGGAAAGAACGGCGGCTTCTCTCCGCCGTGGGCACCGCAGAGGGAAAAAGCCCCGCGCTTTGCCCGGGGCTTGGCACAGCTCCCGGGGGCTCCTGCGGGCGCTCCGCCCTGCTGAACCGACCGTGCGGGGGGCGGCCCGCGGCGGAGGCGGCGGCAGTGCCCCCCTGGGGTGGCAGGAACGCCGCCGGTTGCGCAGAGGCGGCGGCCGCCATTTCCAGGAGGACGGTGCCACCTATGGAAAGCACCTGGAATTCACCGGGCCGGCGGGGACGCGCCGGGAAGTGCAGCGTTTCCGAGCGGCGCCGTCGGTACGAGGCCGGGCTGCGCCCGCCGCTTCCCGGACGGGGCCGCGAGCATCAGAGGGGCTTGGCCGCCACGGTTCTCGGTACCGACTGCCCCGGGGAGAATGTGCGGCTCGGTCCCGCAGCGGCGGCGGGACGCGAGCGGGACGGGCGCTGAGCTGCATCTCCTCGGGGCGGTCGTTTCGCTGACCGGCCGAAGCCTCCGTAACCGGGCAATAACGATCGAACGGGCAGCGAGAAGTTCCTCTGCCCCGGTGATCGGTAGAGTCCCCGAAGGCGGGATCCTCTCGCTCCCTCTGTGTCCGTCCACGCCGAGATCCCTCCAGGGCTCCGCCAGCCCCCTTCGGTCCCCGGAGAAAGGGCAGCAACCGTACCCGGTGCCCTGCCAGGCGTCGGCCGGACCCGAGCCGTGTCCGGGGGGGCACGGTGCCTCTCGCCGCCACGTCGCCTCTGGGGCCGCCGGGGAAGCCCTGCCCCGTCATGAATTCGATGTCAAACACTCGACACGAAAACTTGCACGGGAATTTCTGGGGTCTTATGGACCGTCGGCGTCGCCGCTGCATGGGCACACCCGAGATGTCCCCTCCTCGGAGCGGGTACCCCCGCGCTGCCCGGCAGCAGCCCCGGCGGCACTGCGCGGTACCGGTGCCGCAGGTCGGAGCCGGTCGCTGCCTCCTCAGTTGTCCCCGAGCTGCTCGGAAACGAAAAGGCGGCGTCTCGGGGGCCGGGCTGAGCCCCCAGTCTCGGACAGGACCGTGAGCCGGTGGTGCCGGCGGTGCCAAGGGGTCCCGGGTCCTCGACCCCCGTCGGCACAGCCCGGTACTGGTCCGTGGGGCGGCCAAGTGCCGATGCTGCTCCCGGCTCCATTCAGCTACCGGGGCAGAGAAGGGTTTTCCTGCACGGCTCGGGCACGGAACCGAACCGGGAGAAACCCGCAGCCGAACCGGGCGGCTGGGCTGACGGGGAATCCGGGGCTGGTCTCTCCGAGTGTGCAGCGGAGCGCCCACGCAAGCAGGGAGCTCGCGTGGAAAGTGGCTCCGGGGCGTGCTCTGCCCTGCGCGGCGGTGCCCGGGCTGCAGGATGCCTCTCCCGGGACCCCAGGGCCAGCCCGGTCGGGGGATCCCTTCGGGGGCGGGCAAGCTTTGGGCTTCTGCCGGGGGCCACTTGCTCTTGCCCACTCCTCTCTGCGGTCCTGGAGTGGGGGCCGTGCTCGGGTCGCCCAGGAGATTGGGACACGCTGGGACGCGACCGTGGCATGAAGGGGTCTCTGAGGGACAGCGGCATCCTCGGCCACGCGGGGAACCGGGCCGGGTCGGGCTGGGGGCTGTGATGGATCCTGTCGTCCTCAACGCGGGTGGCCGCGGGACGGAGCAGCTTCTGAAGCACGGCCAGCAGAGCACACGGGAGCGGCGGGGAACTGCCCCGCTGCGATGCGGGATCCACGGTGCCGGCGGTTGGGTTGGAGCCAGGTCCGCCCCGCTGCCCCGTTCTCCCGGCTCAGCCGCACTCGGACACGCGCGCTCGCCCCGCCACCGCCACGCGCGACCCCGAGAGGGGCTCCAGACCCCCGGTTTCGTTGCAAAACTCGCTGCCATGGTGTCCTCCGCAGAGAGAGAAGCGAGGGGGGAGCCGGGCGCTCTACTCCCCAGCAGCCCTCTGAGTCCCGAGGAGTTCATCGCGCGAGTGCGGCTGGAGGAGCGTAGACCCCGCGGCCGAGAGGATGGTTTGGGGTCAAATGGGCGGACACGGGGTTTGCCGCGGCAGCACACGCTCTCGCCGGTCCGGAGCTGTCCCCTTGACGGCTCCGAGCCCCGGGATCCCAGAAAGGGGCCCCGGACCGGTGTGGGTAACGGGAGCCGCAGGGATGAGCGGTCCCACCCGGCCCAGAGCCCGTGGGGCGCCCAGGCAGCTCCTGCCGTTGACCCTGGGAGCGTGGAAGGCTGCCCGTGCCCCGGCTCAGCTCCTGCTCCCAGTGGCCCGGTTGTGCGGGAGGGGTCCCCGAAGCGCCGCCGGCTCCGGGCGCGGAGGTCTCCGGACACCCTTCGGTAGCGGTGGGAACTGCCCGGGTACCGTCCCGCCCGCCGCTGCCGCGTCCCGCACGGCCGGAGCGGCTCTGTCCCACTTCACCTTCCGGGCCGAGACCCCCACGAGTGGCCGCAGCCCTGGCCCGGCTCACCCACGCGCGGGGGCTTCGGGCGGCTCCCCCGTGGCGGCGGTGGCTCCGCGCTGCTTTCCCCGCTCCGTTCTCGTTTGCATCTCCCCTTCTGCCTCCCCCCCCCGCATCTCAACCGGGGCGCGGCTCCGGCCCCGCGCGGGTTCCGCGTGGGTTCCGGCGCGAGGATGGAGCTGTTTCTCCGCTGATGCCGCCGTGGGAGGCAGCCGGAATCTGAACCTCGGCCTCTCCTCTCTGCGCCCCTACGCGTGGCCGCGGGGCTCCTCCGCGGAGCTCCGCGCAGGCGGCGGGGCAAAGGCAGCTGCTCGGTCGGGAGCTACGCGGCCCCTCAGGGCTCGCGTGTGGTGCCGGTACCGGGCGGCACGGCCTCGGATGCGCGGTTCCAACGTGCACCGAGGACACCGACAGCCAAGGTGCCGGGCAGACACCGACTTGCTCGGGGCTGCGGCAGCCCCACGGCCACGGGAATGGGCGCCGCTGCGACAGCGCCCGTCGTGTCGGGGGGACACGATCAGCTCCCGACCCCCAGCCTCGCTTCCCCCGCCGGGCCGTGCTCCCGGTGCCGCCGTCTCTGTCCTCTACGAAGCACCTTCCCAGGAACGGGGTCCAGTGAGCGGCGTCCACGCCAATTCACGAGTCGCCCCGCGACCAGCCTTAATTAACAACGATTAATTCGACATTAACGAAAAACTTCCCGGGACGCAGCTCGCCGGGAGCCGGGAGCCCGCGGAGGTTGCGCTCCCCCCCGGCCCGGCCACGCCGCGCAGAACTCGCGTGTCGCCACGGCTCCCGTGGCCGCGGGGGTTCAGGTATGGTATGGGGGTACACGGGAGCCGCGGAGCGGGAATCTTCCGCCTCCTACCGCGGTTTCACTTCGGCCGGGGGCGGCGGGAGGAGGGATCTGCCCACGGAGACCCGACACACGAGCCCCGCGTCCCGCATGGGGCCGTGCGGGTCCAGCTGTCGGCGCTCCCCGCGGGGTCCCGAAGCCCCAGTCGTGTCCGCCGTTGGAGGTGCGTCCCCGCCCCGGTGACACGGCGGCAGGCAGGATCCCCGGGAAACAACGCGGCTCGGGGTGAGAGCAACGCCGGTGCCCTCTGGTCCCCCGCGCCCCCCGGGCGGCTTTCCCAGCCGGGGAAGGGGAAGGGTCTCGTAGCCCCAGCCCCAGGCCCGCGCGGCTCTGGGGGTGCCCTCTCATTCACCGGAGGGCAGGCGCAGCCGGATCCCCGCGGCCGTTCCCGCCGTGGGTTTCCCACGCGTGAGCGTGGCGGCCGCCCCAGGCCCACTGCTCATCGGCTTCGAGCTCCTCAGCGCAGGGGAGACAGCAGGGAAAGACCCACGAGAGGCTTCGTCTGCTCTCGTCTATCGTGAACGGCGCCGCAGGAGCCCACGCGCATCCCACTCTCGGGGCAGCTCCCAGCGGCGGCGCTGCCCACGGACACGGGAACGGCTTCACTCCGCGGGACCGGGCTGAAGGGCTGTCCGGTCCTCCCGGAGCCTCACACCCACAGCGCGGGGGGCGGGTTCGGTCCCTGCCCACTTGCGAGAACCGGTCGCGTGGGACCTCCTGTCTCCCAGAGGCTGCTCCGGTTTCCCGCGACTCACGCGTGTCTCGTTCTTCCGTGGCCGCCTCGTGGAGAAGGTGCTGTCTCCCGACGTCGTGCCGCGGGGCGAGAGGCAGAGCCGGAGCGGGGAGCCGGCGGGGGTACCGGCTGGCAGCCTCCCCGGTACCGGCTGGCAGCCTCGCGGCGCAGCCCCGTTCCTACGCCAGTTTGCTAACAGATAACGCGGGAGATGGACCAAATCCCGCGTGGGGCCGCCCCGCTGGCCCCGGGTCACCTCTCCTCCCCCCCGGGACCGCAGCCGGGGGCTGCCGGCACAACGAAACCGGCGGCCGCGGTGCCCCATTCTGCCGGCCGTGTCCGCGTCGCCGGGAAGGATTCGCGTTCCCGCAGCGGCGGCGGCGGCGAGCGGCACGCGCGACCGCGCCTGTCCGTGGACGGCTCCGCGGCACCGCGATCCCCCCCGGTACCGGGACGGGCGGTTCGCGCGGGATCGCTCCCACCCCTGACACCGCTCTCTTTGTCCGACCACCGGTAGGCGGGCCAGGCCCGTTCCGCGGCGGAACCCCCCATTCCGCACCGTCCGGCCGCCGCCGAACCCCCCGTCCCGTTCCCGGTTCCGCGGACCCCCGTGGCGCTCCGTCCCCGCTCCGCGCACCCCCTTTGTGCCCCGCGCCCCCTCCCGCCCTCCCGGGGCCGTCCCCCCGAGCGGGGCGTGTCCCGGTGTGTGTGTGGGCGTGTCCCAGTGGGCGTGGCGGTGGGCGTGCCCCTAGGCCCCGCCCCGGCCCATCGGGACGCGGCGCACGTCGTGGGGCGGGGCGCGGCGGGGCCAATGCGGCGCGGGCGGAATATTCCACCGCGCGGGGGGGGGCGCGGTGACGTCAGCGGGCGGAGTATTATGGTCTGGGCTGCGCCGGGGCCGCCCCTGCGCTGCGAGCGGCCGCGTAAACATGGAGCTCTCGGCCGTCGGGGAGCGCGTCTTCGCGGCCGAGGCCCTGCTCAAGCGCCGCATCCGCAAAGTAGGTGCCCCCCCGGCGGGCCCCGCCGCGCCCCCGCCGCCCCGCGCCCCGGCCCGCTGGGGGCGGCTCTGCCTCCCCCCGCCGCGGGGCGGGCTCCGCTCCGCCGCTCCCGCCCTCCCTCCGCGCCTTTGGGGGGGGGGCGGCGTTAAACCCGCGCCCGGGGGGGGTGCGTGTGTGCGTGTGTGTGTGTGTGAAATCCGCGTTATTTTTCATTGTTGCATCTCCCCCCCCCCACACCCCGCGCCGTGCTCCGCTCCCTGCCCGGGGCGTTGCGGGGGGACCTTTGTTGCGGGGCGGTTTGTCGCGGGTTTGTCGCGGGTTTGTCGCGGGTTTCGCTCCACGCATATTTATTTCCCTCGCTTCCCATCCGCAGGGCCGCATGGAATATCTGGTCAAATGGAAGGGCTGGTCGCAGAAGTAAGTGGCCCGTGGGGCCTCGGGGGGCTGCAGCAGGGGCTGGGGGGGATGCTGGCTGCACCCCCTGCTCTCCCTTTGTGCCAGAACCAGAACCTTTATGCCCCTGGTTTTTTTATTTCATTTGTCTTCCTCCCTCCTGGCTCCTTATTCTGTTCCCTCTCTCCGTCCCGCCTTGCCCCCAGGTACAGCACTTGGGAACCCGAGGAGAACATCCTGGATGCCCGGCTGCTCGCAGCCTTCGAGGAGAGGTACAAGGCCTTTACTAGCTGTAGCAGTTGCGCTTGTAAATATGTTGCTGTCTTGTAGCTATGCTGAATTGAAGCTTTGGTTCTTTTAACACCTCTAGGGAGCGAGAAATGGAGCTTTACGGGCCCAAAAAGCGAGGCCCCAAGCCCAAAACCTTCCTGCTAAAGGTAAGGAGGCCAGAGCCCACACGCCAGGGCTCTGGGCCAGGGCAGGGGTCCCGGTGCGGCCCCCTCGGAGGATGCTCCCCTCAAAGGTGGCCTCTTGTAAGTTGCAATTACACAGCCGGATGGCAGGATAATAAAGTCACCGGGTGATTTATCTTCTTTGCAGGCCCAGGCAAAAGCCAAAGCCAAAACCTATGAATTCCGCAGCGACTCTTCCAGGGGGATCCGGGTGCCGTATCCCGGCAGGTCCCCCCAGGAGCTGGGCTCCACGTCCCGGGCTAGGGAAGGACTGAGAAACATAGCCCTGGCCCCCCAGGGCAGCTCCAGCAGCAGCACCCCCAAGGCAGACGGCATCCGGGAGCGGGTGATCCGCGTGGAGGAGAAGCCCGGGGAGACCCCCAAAAAGAGAGGCCCGAAGCCCAGGAAGGAGCTTTACAAGGACCTTGCGGAGACTCTGGACGCCTCCAAGAGGAAACTGGGGGAGCCGGGGGACAAGGTGGGGGACTACCTGAAGGCCAGGAAGATGGAGGAGGCGGCGGGGGCAGCCAAGTTTGGCTCGGGACACAGCGTGATCCAGCTGGCCCGGCGGCAGGAGCCCGACCTGCCCGGCGCCCTGCCCGGCCCCACCCGCGCCGAGCCGGGCCCCGAGGCCTTCCCCCCGCGCCTGGCCAAGCACCGGGCGGACTTCCTGGACCCCAAGGGGCAGGGGGGGCTGGACCCCGGCGGGCCCAAGCTCCTGCACGGCGCCGTGGGCCCGGGGGCCGTGGGCGGCCTGTACCGCGACGGCGTGGGGGGCCCGGCGGGGCGGCCCTCGCTCATCGCCAGGATCCCCGTCTCCAGGATCCTGGGGGACCCCGAGGAGGAGTCCTGGAGCCCCTCTCTCAACAACCTGGAGAAGGTGGTGGTAACTGATGTGACCTCTAACTTTTTGACCGTCACCATCAAGGAGAGCAGCACGGACCAAGGATTCTTTAAGGAGAAGCGATGAGTTTGGTGGAGGTGGTGCTGGGGTTTTCTTCAGTCAGATCCAGACAAAAGCTTGGTAGAGCTTGGTGGGCCTCTCTTTTTTTTCTTTTTTTTTTATGCTCCTTTTTTTTTTTTTTTTCTTTTAAATTTTTTTTTCTTTTGTTTTTGGTCCTGGAGAGAATTTAGAAACTGTCCTAAATTCATTAACTCATTCTTTTGTTTTGGTTTTTTTTCACGTCTTACATTTCGTTGGAAAGATTATCTCTAGAGTTATATTTTCTATTAGATGTAAATATGTTATTTAAGAAAAAATGCTTATATATATATCTATATATATATATTTCAACTCTGAGTTGTTTTATTTAAATGGAGACAACAGTGACTGCTCAGTTGCTCCTAGAAAGGACAATAAAACTGAGAACTAACGAGTTCACGCATCTGCCGCAGGAGCCGGTGTACATAACAGTGTTCATAGCTAAGTATGTGCTGGGTTTTTTTAACTATTATTTTTCATATGATGCTATGGATGGTGGAGGGGGACGTGTTGCTCCCTCACAGGGCTGAGTGCCCGGATTTCTTGATTGTGATTTAAGGTGTTGCTTGTACAATCAAGTGTGCTGTGTCCAGGACTGTTGCCCTTGACAGTTGACGTGAGCACTTGAATTCACAGTGTTGTTGGGGATGGGGTGTTTCCAGTCTAACAAAAAAAGTCATGTTGCTACAAAGTCGGGGCGGGGAAAAGCAGAAATCCATAAAAAGGCTAAAAGTGTTGGAGTATTAACTTGAATTCCCTTTTCTTGCGGAGGAGAGGAGTTTGTGTGTGTAAGGCTCCTGAGGGGTGATACTGAAATGCACTTTAATAGAGTTGTCGTAGCAGTTGTGGGAGATGGGACTGAGCTGAGTATATCTGTTTTCATTTTGTCTGGTCGCTTGATTCTGTTCCCCCACCCACTAAAAACAAAAAACCCCAACAAAACCCCCCTCTGTTTACATTCCTGAAATGCCAGAGAGGTTGGGGAGGGAACATCTCACTGCCCATATTTAGTTACTTTTTTCTGCTACAGAAAGTGGATTATTATTATTTTTATTCCCAATCACAGTTTACTTCAGACTGTTGGAAGACTCTTGATAAAGTGTTTTGTAATATCCACATCCCTGACGAATCCCAGGGTCACCTTTATGCATTCAGAGACAATAAACATTTCCCTTTCCTTACGCTGGTTAAACAATAGCCAAGAGGCAAAATATTCCTGTGCGGGGCAGCCCTGCTGCCTCGGATGGAATTGGTGCTGGATTTGCCCCTGGGATCCCTCCCAGGGCTGGGATCCGGGGCCAGGATCCGGAGCTGGGATCCCTCCCTGGCTGGGGTAGGGAGGCTCTCGGGGCTCTGGGCGAGCTGCAGCAGTTTGGCTGCTGGTTGTGGGGCTGGGGGTGTCCCTGCTCTGCCGCTCTCCCAGCTCGGTCACCGCTGCTCAGGGAGGGAGCCTGGCCCGGCTGTGGCTGGGTGAGGTGGAGCAGGTGGCCCTGGCCTCCTCACACCTTGCTCGGGGCAGCAGTGGGATGGGAAGCACAAGCCCGGCAGTGCCTGAGGCTGGGACTGAGCCAGGACCCCTCATCCCTGAGCTCCTGAAGGCCCCTGGGCCCGGGAGCATCCATGGGCTGAGGGAAGGGCTGGGCAAGGGCCGTCTCTGCTGCAGGGCCCTTCAGCAGCTTCACCTTGCCCGGTTCCCTTCCCCATCCTTCTTTTGGGGGCTGTGAGGTGCCTGGCAGGATGCTGGATTGGCTGTGCAAAGGGAGCCATCGTGTCTGACAGTTCCCAGTTTGTTTTTCCTTTCTTCTTTTTCTTTTTTTTTTGTTTTTTTTTTTTTTTTTAAGACATATTTTGTAAAATTGAGATTTTTAACTTGGTTTGTACGAAGGGCCGATGCGTTGGTTCCGGTGCTGACACGGTGTTGTTGGAGGATGAGGAGGGGGTTGAGCAGTTTGTGCTCCTGCCGCCGCAGGGGCCGGAGGATCCTTCCCTGTGCAAAGAGCCCGGAGCCGCTCCTGCCCCGCTGGAAGCTCCAGCGCCGTGTCCGTGTGTCCGGCACACCTGGAGCGAGCCGTACCTGTGCGTGTATCCGTGTGTCTGTACATAGACGTGTACCCTGCGTGTGTGTGTGTGCGGGCGCGTGCGTGTGAATTATTTAAATCTAAGACTTGTACAAAAAACCGATTTGGCTAAATCTCAGTCTCAGAAGTGAAGCTTAACTACGTGTCTTCTGCCAGCCGTGAATGTCCATATGAGACCTGCTTTTTATGTCAGTTTAAATATATACTTTGTAAATAGAAACGTGTCTGGCTTCCCTTTGTGGCCCTGGGGTGCCCGGGGGTGCCGTGGGGTGCGCGGGGGTCCCGGCGGGGTGGGTGCCCCTGCAGCCCGGGGGGGCTGGGGGCAGGCGGAGGCTCCGCGGATGTCGCCGGTCTGGGCGCCCCCCCGGGGGTCCCGCGGTGCCCCGAGGGGGCGGCGGCGGCCGCTGTGAGCGGCTCCGGTCCGAGGAACGGCGCCGGGGCCGCCGCTACGACACCTCCCGGAACCGGGCCGGTACCGGCGCTGGCCCGCGGCGCTCCGCCCTTCCGACGGCTCGGGCGGCGGCGGCCCCTGCCCGTCGGGCCCGGCCTTTGTGCGAGCGCGGCCCGGCAGCCCGGGCGGGGGCGGGGGGCTTCGTGGCTTTTTGAAGCCGTGTCCTCATTAACCTCCTTTTTCTGCTCGGGCGGGTGGGGCGCGGACCCCGCGCCGCGGGAGCTGCCAGCGCCGGGAGGAGCGGGAGGAAGGGCCGCACAATGGCGCCTTTCTCCGCCGGCCCGCCGGGGGGGCCCGTTCACACGGGCCGCGGGGCCCGGGGCCGGGGCTGGGGCCGGCCCGGGGGCGCTCGCACGGCGGGGCTCGGCTCCCGCCCGACGGCGGCACCGACGGCAGCGCCCGGGGCCGCCCGCGCCTTCCGCGGCCGCGCAGCGCCCTCCGCAGGCCGGCCCGGCCCTGGCCCCGTCCTGCCCCGGTCCCGGTCCCTGGCCCGGTCCCGCAGGTGCGGGCGCTCACCTGAGCTCCGCTCACGGTGCTCTCGGGGCAGCTCCAGCCGCAGCGGAGCCCCGGGCCGGGAGGGGCCGCGGCCGGCACGGAGCCCCGCAGGGAACGCGGTGCGGCTTCCCCGCTCCGGTTTCCCCGCTCCGGTCCCAGGCTCGCACATCCCCAGCCCGGGGCCCCGCCGCAGCCCGGGCTGGGAACACGGAGCCGCAGAGAGGGGCCGGCCCCGGGCGGTGCCGGGGGGACGGAGGGGCACGGGAGCAGTGACCGGAGCACTCCGGAGCAGTGACCACACGAGGCTGAAAAGTTTAAAAAAATATTTATTGATATGCTAGAAAAGAAGTGTGGAAAAGTCATACAAAACCCCCCACCCGACGTAACCATTTCCTAGTGTTTTCCTGCAAATAAATTAAAAGCAGCCTAGAACTGGGGGCTACACTAGCGTTAGTGTCCAGGAACACTGGAAAACTGCTCAAAGAACAGGGGGTGAGGGGCTGGGAGGGACCGGGTGATGCGTGGGGAGCTGGTCCTGCTCCCACAGCACTCATGCTTTCACAGGGCAATAACATCCCCGACTTTTGTTCTCAGAAAATAAAAGCAAACAAACAGCTGCAGTTTAAAGCAATTATAAGTGTCATACAGGATCGATTTGGCTCTCTTTTTAATTAAAACGTACAAATCAGAGCACTGACTGGCACAAGTTACAAGAACAATTGTTTGTTTTCACCTATCTCAAATTTCTGTCAGTAAAACCTTTCTCCTGGCTCTGGAGCCCATCACACACAGCTCAGAAACTCGACACAAACCAAACCCCTAAACCATCTCCATCCCTCCGTGTACTCCTGGGATTTTCTTTTTGGTACAAAATATATATATAAAAATAGACTCAGTTTCTCGGGATGATGGCTGAATCGGCCACCTCTTCCAGTCCAATGGAAAACAACAAGGATGCTTAACCAGATTACGCCTGGGGAAAATATCCTTTCACTATACAAATACCGCAGGATTTCCACATCGGAAACCCCTTAGAAAATGACAAGTGACAAACCTTTAATTGCCTGTCTGACACCCGGCTGAACATGCCAACCCATAGCAGCAAACTCAAAAAAAAAGGAATAAAAAAAGGTAGAACTTGAATCCTAATGGCATATAACCAGGGTCTGCACCAACCAGGGGTCTTCCAACCCCTGTCCACAAAGATTGCAGTAAATTCATCACAGGATGTGTCTTTGGGAAGCAAACCCCAGTGGGAACCGTGCACTCAGGCCCCCCAGCTGATGGGAGAGCCAAGGTCCCAGAACAACAAGTGAGAAAGGGGCTGGGGAAGAAACGTAGAGCGAGACGGCCAGAAAAAAATCCTGGATTATCATTTTCACCATCGTTAGACCTTTGGCATTGAACCAGCTGGTGAGCAAAAGGCACAATAGCAAGTGGTGACAGCAGAGTCCTGTGCTGCTGGAGGGGACATGCCCTGGTGATGGAGGGGGCTGCCTGCTGTGGGGACACGTGTCCCTTTGCCAGACAGGAGCCAGGCCCTGCAGGGAGACACCCTGGGAGCTGGGCCAGCGGCTCTGGAGGGAGCAGCCAGCACTTCACCTGCTGTCCAGCTCAGCCCCTGCCCTGCCTCTGGGGCCTGGCCCCTCCTTGGAGCATCTTCAGATAATTTTCCCCCCCTTGGAGAAACCAACCCACACATTCTCTTGGTGCAGGCAGGAGCATCCCTGCCCGCCAGCTTCCCCTCTGGGGCATTGCTCAGCAGGGCTCTGCACAGCTGGTGTCCCACTGGGGACCAGGACACCTGTCCCCACGGGTGTCACCGTGTCCCCAAGACCCTGTGACCACCCTGCTTTGCATAGGCACAAACCTGTGGTGGGACCGGTGCCACAGCCAAGGCTGAGATAAGGACGGTCCAAAGGCACATTGTTATCAGTTTGGATTCACAAACACCAGGTAGCAAACGTTCGGTGTGTGGCTGAGAGCGTCACCCCATGCTCCCAGAGCCCTTGGTTCTTCTCCCAGAGCACTGGCACCCCTGGCACAGCACACACCCTGCCCGGGGCCCTGCCTGCTGCTGACACAGGCCAGAGCCGCCCTGGGGCTCGTTTGGCAAGGTCACAGTAGAAGGTAAACTGCACAGATTGTGACATTTGGCATCACCTGAGAATGATCCCACTGGCAGCCAGGGGCAGCAGCCGTGACCATGGGGGGCTGCTGCCTCAGGGGGTCACAAGCACCTGCACCCCCAGTTTGGTCCATGCACCCGCACTCCTGTGAGTGTCCCTGCCTGGGGCAAAGGGAAATGCCTGCCCTGGTGCCACCTCAGTCACCTGGGGACCCCCAAGCAGTGACCTGCTGGTCAGGTGGAGGGACATCAGAACCGTGCAGGGAGGGGGCAGCTGCCAGCTGCTCATTGCCTCTGAGAAAAGGACTCAGCACCAACAGAACGAAAATGACCTCGAATGCTACTAAACTCTGCCTGAACTGCTGCTAATTTTGGCTTCTAGGAGAAATCTGCAGCAGGGAAAACACTGCAGTGGAAAAGCCATTACTGGGTGCCATTAGAAGCCCAAAGGAGCACCCCAGCTGCTGGGATGGCCAGGGGCAGGTGAATGGCTGTTCAGGTGCTCAGGTGAACAGCAGCCTGAGGTACCCACTGGCCTTAGCCCCTGTCCCTCTCCTCTCCCTTCCCATCACTCCAGACACCTGTGCAGGTGGCCTTGAGCAGCTTCTGAGCGTTCTGGAGAAAACCATGGATGATCAGTGTGAGTCTCACCCAGGGAGCAGCAGTCCTGGGTGTCCTGGCAGTCCCAGCACCAACCCACCTGCTGCTGGAAGGGTTCACACGTTCTGCAAGGTTTATAAAATATTCCCCAGCTCAGTCCCTGTGAGTGCCTGGAACCTGCTGAGCAGGAGGTGGAGATGCTGGCAATGCAAGCATGAGGCAGAGGAGGGGTGTGGGGGTTCCCTGGGCTGCCCAGAAATTCACGTTCTTCTGGAAGTCAAGTCACTGCACAGAAGCTGGTGGATCCTGCTGGCTCTCAAGGCAGGACTTTCCTCCAGCAGAAAGGAAACACCCTCCAAAAAAAAGCACCTCTGCCACCTGTTCTGTTAGCGGCATCCAGGACTTCACCTATCTGAGAACGGGGTTATTTCCCTCCCTCATGAAAAAAAAAAAATTCCTTAAGAAAAAATGTAAACAATATTTCCCTATCAGCTGGAAACCCCAACAGAACCGCTGGGGGTTCCCCATCATTGGAAATGACCTCGCCCAGGGGGGTGGCTGGGCTGAGAGTACCCTGAAAAACCCCCGAATGCAGCTGCCCCCCACAGCCCCGAGGGCTGGGAGCAGCAGCTGCCTCATTTGGATTGACATGCAGCTCCCCATGGCTCACAGACACATCCACAGGAAGCCCAGAAGAGAATCTCCCAGGTGTAAGAGTGTCCCGTGGCAGCTCCACACCCCCGTGGTCAGTGAGCTGCAGCCCTTGGATCCGCTGCTTCAAAGCTGAGACCTGCAGGCAGCGAAGCCTGGCTCAAAACTGGCCAGCCTGGCACCCCAGCAGCACCCGTGCCCCGCTCCCCGAGCATGGCATCGACCACCCCACACGGGGCACGGCTCCAGAGAGGATGGAGAGGAGCTAGGGAGGAAATCCAGGACCTGCTGGCAGTTTGGAGCGGGTTTCACTGCGTTACTGGTCCAGCCTTTCCAGACACGAGTTCCAGCAGGTCCCACGAGGGCTGCGCGTTCACTGGAAGAAAAAACACCTGATGGAAGAGCTGGGCAAAGGTGAGGGTGACGGGCCCTCTCCCTCCTCTCAGGCTCCGGGGCTCAGTATTGCCGCAGGTTGAAAAACCCGACGCTGGTGGGGGACTCCTTGACCGTCACTGTGATCAGGTTGGCGGTGACATCGGTGACAAAGACGTGCTCGATCAGGCTGCGCGTGGGTTTCCAGTCCTGGCTGGTCTGGATGGACACAGACATGTTCTGAGCCACACCTGGGAGGGAGGCCGAATCCCGGTCCGAATCTGAGCTGGTGTCCTCGCCGGTGCTGGCTTCGGACAGCGCGGGGGCCTTGCGGCCCTCGGTGGCCGCGTGTCCCTCTGGAGCGCCCGCGGAGCCACCTTTGGCCGAGTCCCTGTCCCCTGCCCGCTGTGTCTGCTTCTTGCTCTTGCCTCCGTCCCCCCCTGGCAGCGCAGCGGCACTGGCAGCATTCAGCCCGGCCCCTGCCGTGCCCCCCTTGGCACCGCCAGCGCCCTTGGCGCCCGCAGGGGCCGCGCTGCCGGCAGAGCCCTTGGCCAGGGAGCCGCAGAGGTGCCGGGGGCCGCTGCTCCCGCTGGGCCCGTTCCTGACACTCTGCAGGTTCAGAGCCTGCAGGTTCAGCTCCTGGCTGGAGGCTGCCTGGCTGCTGGCCCCGGAGGAGCTCGATGCTGTCTTGCTGCCGTTGGGCAGCATCTGGCCTCCAGCAGCAAACCCCGACTTCTGCTCCCCTCCGGCGCTGCTGCCAGAAGCCTTTGCAGTTTTGGGTCCCTGCGCGTTCAGCCCCAGCTCCCCAGAGCCCTTCTGGCTCCTCATTTTCAAGTCCAGCCCTAAGCTGCCCTTACTGGCTGCCTGTGCCTTCAGTGCCAGCCTGCCCAGAGCTGAGCTCTCGGCCGCAGCCTGGCTTTGGGACATCCTGTTCATGTAGTGCACGATGGAGCTCTGCCAGCTGATGGCCTGGCTGGGGCTGGCCGAGCCACTCTTCATCACGTTGGGCAGGTTCTCCCCTGAGGAGCCCCCCGAGCTGAGCCCAGCCAGGGCGCCCGGGGGGTCCTTCAGCATGGCCAGGCCCGAGCCCTGCGTGCTGTGCTGGGGCTGCAGCTTCCCCACCAGCTTGGCGCTGCCCCCCGCCTCCTTCCGGGACGTTTTCAGCACCTTTGTCAGGTTCACGGTCCTTCGGGCTGCTTTCTGCTCTGGGGGAAGAGGCTTCCGGCCACGCTTCTTCCTGGAAGCGTCCTTCATGTCGGGCTTGGCCACCAGGATCTGAGCTTTCTTCTGTGGCACCGGGTGTGTCTCTCTGCTGCGGGGACCTCTCTTTGCTTCCAGATCACTCTCATCCTCTTCCTCGGAGGAGGAGGAAGAGGAGGATGTGGAGGAAGAGGAGCTACTTGACTTAGTTTTTGTGGGCATCTCTGGTTCCTGCAAAGCAACAGAGACGGGGAGAGTTAACAGCAATGACCAAGGAATGGTTGTGGGCACTACAAACCCTCTAGGGTGGCCTGGCCAGGGCCTCAGACATGCCCAGGTTCTCTATTGGTGTAGCTGATCTTCAGGGATCCATCAGCTGACGGGATGAGCTGTGTGCCCAAGGCCACCCCCAAACCCCGGTGCCCTCCAAGGCCAGAGCCCCCCAGAGCTGCCCCACCCCTGCTGGGACTCACCACGTTCTTCCTGGGCCTGCCCCGGGGCCTCTTGCCCCTCTTCCGATTCTGCACTTCCTTCTCATGCTCCCTGGAGGAAACAAGGATTAAGGACAATGTTCATGGGGAAGAAAAAATCACCTGGGGAAACTGAGGCAGCCAGGGAGTGACCAGAGAGCATCCCTGTGTGCCCAGCAACATCCCCGCAGCTTCCAGCAGTTACTGATGGACCGTGTGGGGTTACCCATCCTAAACCTGTGCCTCTCCCTGCTCTGGGTGAGATTTGCTGTTTTTCTGGCACAAGGGGATCAGGCAGAGGGAAGGCTCTGCCCCCAGCCATGCTAAGGTTTGCCTTGGTTATGCCCCAGCTTCCATGCTGAGTGTGGGAGAGGCAAAGGCACTCCCTGAAGCTCAGTGAGCCCCTCCTTTGCTGGGCTCCTTCCACCTCTCCTGCACCTCCTGCTCTGGCCATGGTGGCCCAGGCTGGGATGTTTCAGGTCACTGTACTCGTTCCTAGTTTGTTTAAATGGGATGGTGTTCAGATGTAACACATCCAGCTGATTAAACACCATCCTGGCTGCACTCAACACCAGATCCTATTCTTGAATAAAATTGATCCAGAAACCAGTTATAATTGAATCCTATCATAAACTTTAATGATTTTTATTATTACTATGTCAAAGTATTTGGCAGCACTGTGCCTGCCATGGCCAGCTGGCTACCCCTCTGTCCTGTGAGTGATTCCGGGGTGCAGGGCTGTGGAATCATTGCTGTTCTCAGGCTGGCTCCAGGCAGGAGCACAGACACCATCCTGTTCTGCCGTCCAGGTGGATCAGCCTGGAGAAGGCTCTAGGGAGACTTCAGAGCATCTCCCAGTACTTAAAGAGGCTCCAAGAGAGCTGGAGAGGGACTTTGGACAAGGGCCTGGAGTGACAGGACACAGGGGATGGCTGCCAGCTGACTGAGGGCAGGGTTAGATGGGGGATTAAGAAGAAATTCTTCCCTGTGAGGGTGGTGAGGCCCTGGCACAGGGTGCCCAAAGAATCTGTGGCTGCCCCATCCATGGTAATGTCTAAGGCCAGGTTGGACAGGACCTGGAGCAGCCTGGGATAGTGGAAATGTTTGGGTGGATCGGGAAGAGCTTTAAGATCCTTCCTAATCCAAACATTCTCTACAATTTTCTCCCAGATATTATTTCTCTCGCCCTCCCAGAGCTTCACCCTCCACAAGTTCACTTTAATGCCTCACAAGCCCAGGCACCTTCTCCCCCCAGGGGTCTGTGGCTGCCCCCCAAGCACAGCCAAGGTCCCTGAGCCCTGGATGGGGACAGGGAGCCCCAGGTCCGTGCCAGGCTCTGCCCCCTTCCCCGGGTGCACCCAGAGGCCCCAAACCCTCGGGGTCTGCCTGGCCAGGGCAGAGCCGTTCTAGGTAGACCTGGACCGACCGTGACTCCGGGGACAAACAAAAGGGCCTGGCCACAAAGGGCCCCGCCAGCTCCGGGCTGTTGTTTCCAACGGCTTCCACCACACGTGCAGCCAATTAGAAGTTAATTGACTTTACAGTTTGCTTAGAAACATTTAGAGTTTGCTCACTTCTTTTGGAAAGCCAGGAGCAGCCGGGGGTCCAGGATGTTCTCCTCGGGCTCCCAGCTGTTGTGCCTGCAACAGAGGACACGGACCGGGTGAGAACAGGGGCCGGACCTCCCCCGGCCGCTCCGGCACCGGGGGCTTCCCCCGGGGCCACCCGGGCCTGGCACGGACCGGGGCGTGCCGGTACCGGGGGCCGGCACAGCCGGGGGGCGGGCAGGGGAGAGGGGCCGGGGGAGGGAGATCGGGAAGGGGCGGCCACGCCGCCGCGGGGCGAGGCGAGCCCCGCGCATCCCGGGGGAGCTCCGGTTTCAGCAGAGCGGGCGCGGGGCCGCCACGGCCGGGGGGGTGCGGCGGCTCGGGGGGGCTGCACCGGCCCGGGCGGGGGGAGCGGAGCCCCACGCGGTGGCGGGGAGGGCCCGGCCGCGGCCGCGCTTATTTGTAAACAAAAGGAGCGGCACGACCCAAACAAAAGCGGCCGGGCGGGCGGTACCCGCGGCCCGCTCCGCAGCCGCTCCGCACCGCGTGGTTCCGCGATCCGCGCGGCCCCGCTCCGCGCCCCGCGCCCCGCACCGCCCCGCTCACTTGGAGGACCAGCCTCGCCACTTGACCAGGTACTCCAGCTTGCCCTGCGGAGAGAGACGGGAGAGGGGCGTTAGCGGCGGCGGGGGTGCGGGAGAGCGGGGGCTGCGGGGCGCGGGTCCCACCTTGCGGAGCCGCTTGCTGAGGATGCACTCGGCGGCGAAGACCTGCTCTCCCACGCTGCTCAGCTCCTCCATGGCCCCGCGCACACCCCCGCGCACTCACACACAAGGGGAGCCCCCGGGCGCGCCCCCGACGGCGGCCGCGCGCGCTCCGACCCCCCCAGATCCACGCGCGCCCCCCGGCACAATACGGCGGAGGGGCGGGCGGGGGGTCCCCAAATTCCCCGCCGGCCAATGGGGAGAAGGGGGCGGGGCGATCCGGCGTGGGGGGTGGGGGGAGGCATTGTCTGTGTGCGACCCCTCCTCTTCCTCCCGCGCGGGGGCGGCCGCTGCCCGGCCGGAGCGGGGACAATGGGGTGGCCCGGCCCGGGGCTTTGTTTGCCCGGGCGGCGCAGGGGGCTTCCCCGGCCGGCCCCGCGGGGGGATCCCCCCGGTCCGGCCCCGCGAGGGGTCCCTGCTGCGAGCAGCCGGGCTCCGAGTCCCCCGCCCGGGGTCCCTCCTGGGGACAAAGCGCCCTGCGGCTGGGGCAGCCAGCGCCGGTCCCCGCCGGTCCCCGCCGGGCCGCGCAGGCGGCGGCAGCACCGGCACGCTGTAGTCCTAAAATAGTTGATTCTAATAGAATAAAAGCTTTCCCGGGGGGCGGGCCGGTTGTGACCCTCGCGCGGTGCCGCTCGCAGCTCGGTGCCGCCCGGCCCGCGCTCCCTCCCGAGCCGCGCTACCGGGGGTGCGGCGGCACCGAGCGCGCACCGGGGCGTGCGGGGCTGCGCGAGGAGCCGCTGCACGGCGGTTGTGCGCTGTGGGCGTGGAAGGATGAAATATGGTGCTTTCCAGGCATGGAAGAAGATGAGTCAGCACCTCAGGGAGTTCTGCTCCGCGGGCCCGGAGCCTGCCGTTAACCGTGCGGGGATATGAATTGCCGTCGCCCCGGCGCCTGGGTGCCCGCGGCGCGCAGGGACTGAGCGGGAGCCGGACGGGCCATGGGGTGTCCTGCGTGGGGCCTCGCCCGCACCCCGGGCACTGCCGTCTCCGGTAAGCGATGCCGGGTTTAGCGGTGCCGGGTTTAGCGGTGCCGGGTTTAGCGATGCCGGGTTTACAAAAGCATTTGGAGCGGCAGCGGGCGCGTTGGGCTGTCCCCGCTGCGGGGGGATGTCACCACAGGGACCCTCTGCACGAGGCAGTGAGAGACGGGACCGACTCGGGCTCCGCGGGGTGTGGACGTGCCTGGGGTGTCGGGTGGGTGCCAGGGGGCTGTCCTGGCTCGGGCACCGTCACCTTTCCTTGCTTCCTTTGACAATTACCGCGGCCGTTCGCTGATGAGAAGAGCTGTAGGAGCGTTTTTTTAGCCGAAGGTGACACAGAATTGTAACAGCGCCGCACTTTTTGTTCGAGTTCATTTACCTTGTGCCAGCTCGGCTCTTTGTGTGCGGCACCTCTGAGGTTTTAGAAGCTCCGTGTGACCTCCCCTCGCCGTGTGCTGAGCTGTGCCCATCCCGGCGGTGTGGGGCAGCCCGAGGGATGAGGATGAGGAGCCCTGGGGCTCTCCTGGCCGCGGGGATTCGGCTCTGAGAGACGGCCCCTGTTGGGAAGGAGCCCTGATTCGGGTGATGCTGGGTGAGCTCCCCTCCCGGCCGCCCCTCAGTGCTGCTGCTGCTGCTGTGTTCCCCAGGAGCATGCAGGGCTAGGGTCGCTGTTCTCTGCCTTCCCGGGGCCAGGAAGGGGAGGCCGGTGAGTGGAGAGGCTCCATCCGCTGCCTGATGGGCTGGGCTGGGGCTCAGAGTGGGAGCAGCCCTTGCCATTTGTGTCCCTTTAGGAACCACGGGGTTTGTGGGGCTGTGCCATCAGCATTGTCCCTGGTCCCTCGTGGGGACTCTGATTGATCTCTGGTGCTGCTCAGCCCCCATGCCACACATCCTGCTCCTGCTGGGGGTGGAAAGGACCATGCTGTTCCCTGGGCTGCAAATCTCCTTTCTCCTCACAGGGGTTTATTAAAAACTGGTCCTGGGCAGTCCCTGGGCTGCCGTGGGCTCTGTGCCTTTTACCCTGGCAGCGTGGGGTACCCCAGGGCTCCTGGGACGCTCTGTTCCCTCTTGGTCAGCCAGAGGAGACCATCCCAGCCCTGGAGCTTCCCTGGACACTGCTGGTCTGAGCTGCTGCTGGGGCTGGTGACTGGGGTGGGATGAGCTGCTCCCCTGCTGCTGCCAAAGCTGTGGCTCCACCTGTGAGTGCCTTTTCCATGAATTCCGTGTTTCCCATCCCCAGCAGGGACTTCACCCTTCTGGAGAAACTCAGGAACACACACTGAATAACTTGGCCCATGCTCCCACCAGGCAAAGTGACGTTGGGCCAATAAATTCACCAATCACCGTGAAAACCGTCACCATCTTAAAAATGAGAGCCAGACCCCCGAAATAACCTGATGGACCCTGATTTTGTAGCTTTTCCCAAGTAGGCCAGGCATGCCAGGAATGCTGTGGGTCCTGTGTTGTGTCTGTAGCAGGGGCTGTCAGGCTGAGGTGGGGGTTTGGTGTTGAAGGAAGGGATGGGGATGAGGGGAAAAGGGCTGTGCTGCTCCTGGACTGGAAATCTGTTTAAACTGGGGTTTACTGGGAACTAGGTCAGGTCACCCTGAGCTGCTGTGGGCTCAGTGCTCTGCCCATCCTGCCAGGCTGAGTGAGGGACACGGCAGGGAGCCCTGGCCTGGTGGGTGCAGGGTGGGGGTCAAGGTCCGGGGGGGTTCCCAAGGGCCTCTGTGTTGGGGCTGGACCCCCCAAAGCAGGTGCATTGCAGGGGTGCCCCGTTCCTCCAGCCCCGGGACCCCCGTGGCCGTGGTTTTGGGGTGCCTGAGGTGCATTGCAGGGGTGTCCCGTTCCTCCAGCCCCGGGACCCCCGTGGCCGTGGTTTTGGGGTGCCTGAGGGGGTGCGGGATGTCCCTGAGCCCAGAGGGTGAGGCCGGGGCCAGCCCAGGGAGCAGCCGGGCCATGGTGGCCATGTTTGTTGTGGGCAAATGGTGGCTGTTTTTCCCAAGGCCCCAGCCAATCAAAGCACAGAGATCTGCATCTCATTTGGGTACTGCAGCCGGGTATGGAGCTGTGCAGCTGCCAGGATGGGGTGGCCGGGGACTGTGGCCCTGTGCGGGGTTCAGAGGGGTGCGTGCCACCCCCAGGGCGGGCATTTTGGGAGGAGCAGCGTCCCCACACACCGTGTGCCATAAATAAATACGTGTCCTTGTATGTTTGTTGTTATGTTCCCATCCCGGAGTGGCTGGGACCCCTGGGCAGCGAGCAGCTTCCCAGTGCAGGAAAAAGAAAAGGAAGCAAATGGTGTGGAAATGCATGGCAAATTGGGATGCAATACACAGCGGGGCTCTCCCTGCTGCGTGACCCCCAGCCCGGGCAGGGGGGCGCTGGGGAATGAATTACTGGGGATGGCAGGGCGGGAGCAGGCGCGGGGATCCGGCGGCGGCCGTGTCCGGGCACGGCCAGGCGGGGCTTTGGCCTTTGTCACCGGGAGATGTTTGCTGAAAATGTCCCACGCTGCCCGTGCACGAGGTGTGAGGAGCAACGGGAAGGGCTGGGAGAGGCTCCAAGGACGTGCAAAATGCGACAGTTTGGGGTTTCCTTGGAAGAGGCTGAGCTAGAGATGGCTCTGGGGAGCAGGAGCTGGTTTAGGTTCTGTGTGTCTGTGGGGTCAAACCTTGCACCCAGAGCGGGGAGGATCCATCTCACCTGTCTGGCCTGGGACATGGAAGCGTCCTCAGCCCGAGGCATCCTCAGGGCCAGGAGGGGACGGTGAGGTTCCGTCAGTGCCGTGGGTCCCCGGGGCATCCCTGGGAGCGTCCCTGTGCCGGCTGGGGCAGCCGGAGCCGCGGCCGTGCTCGGAGCGCCCCGGGCCGAGGAGCGGCTGTTCCCGGCCTTTGTCCCTCGGGCCGAGGAGCGGGTCCCGCTCCGGGGGAGCCACCGGGGCCCGGCATGGCCCCGGGACAGCGGCTAGAGGCGCCGCGGGTTCGGGGAGATGCTCCGGGCCGGGCTTTTACCGGGAGCCGCTTGCCCCGCCCGTGCCGGGAGCTCGGGGGCCTGAGCGCGGCTCGGGAGCCCTCGGCCGCCGGCTGCCGGTACTGCACCGGGACACCGGGACATGGGAACACTGGGACACCGGGACATTGGGACACCGGGACATGGGGACATGGGAACACCGGGATACTGGGACACCGGGACATGGGGACATGGGGACATGGGGACATGGGGACACCGGGATACCGGGACATGGGGACACCGGGATACCGGGACATTGGGACACCGGGATACCGGGACACCGGGACATGGGGACACCGGGATACCGGGACATGGGGACATGGGGACACCGGGATACTGGGACACCGGGACATTGGGACATGGGGACACCGGGATACTGGGACATGGGGACACCGGGACATGGGGACACCGGGATACCGGGACATGGGGACATGGGGACACCGGGACATGGGGACACTGGGATACTGGGACATGGGGACATTGGGACACCAGGATACCGGGATACCGGGACATGGGGACACCGGGACATGGGGATACCGGGACACCGGGACATTGGGACATGGGGACATTGGGACACCGGGACATTGGGACACCGGGACATGGGGACATTGGGACATGGGGACACCGGGATATTGGGACATTGGGACACCGGGATACCGGAACATGGGGACACCGGGACATTGGGACACCAGGACACCGGGACACTGGGACATTGGGACACCAGGACATTGGGACACTGGGACATCAGGACACCGTCAGGGCGGGAGGCAGCGGGAGATGGGTACGGGGATGGGATGGAGGAACAGGACCAGCTCCTGGGCCAGGCAGGAGGATCCCCCGGTGTGCTCAGAATCCCAGGGCTCGGGGAAGGTCCGTGCTGGGGATGCGGCTGCAGCAAGAACCGTGAGCAGCGTGCTGCATCCGGCCCCTCTGAGGCGTGTCCCGTGGCAATCCCTGTGACTGGAGGGCAGTGGAACCCTCCTGCAGGGATGTTCGGGCTCAGCCTTTCCCCAGGATGGTCCCTTCCTCACCATGGGCTTTTCTGGCAGGGCTCTGTCTCACCCAAATGCTGCTGGTTGAGTCAGGAACTCAGTTCCTGCTCCCAGCTGAGGGAAGATCAGCTCTCAGATGAGGATTTGTGTCAGGAGGTTGAGTCACTACAAACTCCATGTGGGTCTGGGCAGCAGACTGGGACCAGCCCTATGAGCACTGCGCCTTCTCAGTACTTAAAGGCTTATAAAAAAGAGGGAGAGTGGCATTTTAAATGGGCAGAGAGTGATAGGACAGGGAAGTGGTTTTAAACTTCAGAGAGGAGAGATTTAGGTTAAATGTTAGGGGGAAATTATTCTCTGAGGGTGGGCAGGCCCTGGCACAGGTGCCCAGAGCAGCTGGGGCTGCCCCTGGATCCCTGGCAGTGCCCAAAGCCAGACTGGACAGGGCTTGGAGCACCCTGGGACAGTGGGGGTGTCCCTGCCACGGCAGGGGTGGCACTGGAGGGGCTTTAAGGTCCCTTCCAACCATTCCATGGGTTTGTGATCCTGCTCTGTACCTGCTGGGCATGAGGACGGTCAGAGCCTGGTACCAGAGGGTTCTGAGCCCTGCAGGCTCTGCCAGGATCTCCAGGGCACCAGCAGAGCTGGCTGCCCCTGCCCTGGCTGTGCTGAGCTGCAGGGGAAGCCCAAGGTGACCAGCAGCAGAACTGGGAAGGTTTCTGTGCACACCCTTATCATGAACCCCATTCTCAGCGGCGTGCACAGCGCTGGCCACGCTCCCCTTTCGGAGCCTCCCTGCTGCTGCCGCTGCCCTGACCCCCACCCCAGCACCGTTTCAAGCCAAACATTTTCTTCCTGTTTTTCTGAGGGTGCGGCTCTTGTTTCATCTCGTTGGGTGAAGCCGATGCAGTGAGCGAGTCTCTATGGCAACAGATGTTTATCGAGCCCCTGAGATGAGGCACAGGGCTGGGGAAAGGCACCACAGCATCTGGGAGGGGTCTGGGGGGGCTGGAAAGCCACGCTGGGAGGGCTGCAGTGGGGGCTGCTGCATGGGGGGGTCTTGCTCCCTGTCCCCAAAACCCCAGCCTGGCTGAAGGGCCCTGGGCTGCTTCCTGCACAGGGGGTTTGGGTTTGTACAGGGGCTCCTTTTGCCTCAGCCCTGCTGGGAGAGCTCCTGGGAGCCTGGCACAAACGGCCCAGGCTCTGCCAGCCCCTGGCTCAGGAGCCACAGAGCCATGGGCTCTGTGCTGGGGGTCCCTGTCTCCAGAATACATCAATGCCCTCCCAGAGCTCCCAGCAGCTGCAGCCGGGGCAGGTCTCAGCAGTTCTGCCACGGAGCAGTGCAGCCAGGCCCATCCTGCCTGCAGGTTTGCTGCCCAGGAGTGCACAGGGGGCATTTCCCAGTTTTGGCCGCAGCCACAAGGCACAGAAGGACAAGCAGGATGGTGCTGAGCCATACCCAGGGCTCTTGGGGAAGGAGCTGGAAGTGTTCAGTGACTTTGGGACCCTTCCGAGGCTTTGGGTGCCCCGGGCAGCCCTGAATGTGGCCAGGAGGAACCACCGGGGCTTCTCTGTGTCCTGGGCAGGTCCAGGCTCAGCGGCTCCGCCCTGGGTGGGGCCTGGCGCCTTTCAGGGGAGGCTCCCGGCTCGCTCAGAACAGATTTAATTGGCACGGACATCATCATGTACCAGCTGTCCCCGCTCCAAACCCAGCCTGGAGCTGTTGTGGCTCCCGCACTTGGGGGGATGCGAACACGGGGTGACCGTGCCAGGCTGGACATCGGTGCCACCTCCCCCAGCAGAGCATCCCAGTGTCCCCAAAGCCGGGAGAGGCGTCTGCTCCGGGGACTCAGGCATGCTGGAAGAGCGCGGGTCAGGAATGTGGAGAGGTTTTGGGAATTCTGTCCCGTTCCCCAGCCTGGGACTGGTTATCTTTGTGAGCCGTGTCCTTCCCCATCTTGCCGTGTGCTCTGGCAGAGTTGCCTGGAGCTTGGGGGCTGCCAGGACAGGAGAGCACGGCGCTGCTGGTGCTTGTTCCAGGTCTCTGCAGCCTGCAGGTGTCGGCTGGAGGCGCCTCGTGCCAGGGAATTGATCAGGAGTTACTCGTTCTGCTGGTTCTCTGGGCACATTTGCACCTTGAGGGAAAATGACAAACTGTGGTCTGGCAGCCACACAGAGCCACGAGCAGAGCCACGAACAGCGGAGGATTCACCCTGGTCCAGACCTGGCTGCACGCAGAGGACGGAGGGGACAGGGCAGGGGGCAGTGGCAGGGTCCAAGAGGGTGCCCACCCTTCTCCTCAGCCCAGCCCATGCCCTGGGTGGTGCCAGTGCTGACCCGGGGCAGGAAAACTGAGAGTCCTGTGTGAGGTGAGAAGCCCCTGCTGTGTCCTGCAGGGAGCGGTTTTGGGGGGCTCCACAGACCGGGGAGACCCGGGGGGCCCACACCCAAAGGGGGCACGGTTTGCCGGGGTGTTTGCCCCCATCCTGGGGCTCCTTGGGCTCGGTTACCTGGTGGCGGTCAGAAAACTCCTCCCCAGTATCCCAGAACCACAGCGAGTCCCAGCAGCAGCGGCAGCTTCTCGGCGGGATGGAGAGGACCCGAACCTGCCGAGCCGAGAGGGCGGTGAGCGCCGGCCCTGCCCCGGGGCCGGTACCCACGGGTGACGGTGACTGTCACCTCCTGCCACCCCTCCCGCTCCTCCCTCCGCCCGGCCGGGAGCAGCTCCGCCCCGGTGCCACGGTGACCCTGCCCGGTTACCGAGCGCGGGGATGGGGGGGGCACGGCCCGGTGCCCCGGAGCCACCGGGCGGTGGCGGGAGCGGCGGCGGCCGCCAGGTGTCGCTGTTCCCGCGGGAATCCCGGCGGAGCGGAGCGCGCCCGGTGCCCGGTGCTGCTCCCGGTGCTGCTCCCGGTGAGATCCCGGTGCCGCTCCCGGTGACGCTCTCTGTGAGCTCCCGGTGCCGCTCCCGGTGCTGCTCCCGGTACCCATTGCCGCCCCCGGTGTCTCTCCTCGTGCCTATTTTGCCGCTGCCGGTGCTCGGTGCCGCTCCCGGTGCTGCTCCTGATGCCTTTTTTGCCACTCCCGGTGCCCATTGCCACCGCTGCTCCCGGGTGCCGCCCCCAGTGCCCGTTGCTGCCCCCGGTGCCGCTCCTGGTGCCTATTTTGCCGCTCCCGGTGCCCATTGTTGCCCCCGGTGCCCTCCCAGTGAGCTCTTGGTGTGCTCCCAGTGCCCATTCCCGCCGCCGGTGCCGCTCCCTGGTACCGTTCCTGGTGCCCATTGCCGCCCCCCGTGCCCATTGCCCCTTCTGGTGCCTGTTGCTGTTCCCGGTGCCCACTGTCAGTGCCGGTGCCTGCTGCCCTCCCACTGCCCCCCATGACTCCTGCTGCTGACCATTGCTGCCATTGTCATTGCCGTTGTCGTTGCCATTGCCGTTGCCATTGCCGTTGCCATCGCCGTTGCCATTGCCATTGCCATTGCCATCGCCGTTGCCATTGTCATTGCCATTGCCATTGCCGTTGCCGTTGCCATTGCCGTTGCCGTTGCCATTGCCGTTGCCATTGCCGTTGCCGGTTCCATTGCCATTGCCACCATCACCATCCGTGGGTTCCCTCAGCATGGGCTTGGTGACCTCCAGGGAGCCGTCATGGGGCTCGGGGGTGATGCCCAGCAGCTCGCAGAGGAGGGCGTAGACGTTGACGCTTTCGAAGGGCTCCACCTCCAGCCCCTTCTTGAAGGCCGGTCCCACGGCACGGAAGATGGTTTTCATGTTCATGGCCTCGTTGTCAAAGCCGTGCTCCCCTTTATTGAACTGGACCTTGTACCTCTGCAGGGGAGAGCAGGAGCGTGAGCCCCCCAGCCCCGCTGCCCCCCACACACCCCACCTCTCCCACCTCCTGCAGCTCCAGGGTTTGATGGTCTGGTCGGTTCCTTTCAGTTTTGGGAGTTGATCTGTTGGTGTTAAATTCTGCAGAAGCTGGAGGTGCCTCCAGACACTGCTCTCAACCAATTACATCCTGCAAGTTCCCTCCCTAAACGTTGGCACAGCCAAATTTTGTTGCACTGAGGAGCTTCCAATGGGAAGCTGCCTGCTGGCCTTGATGCCTCCCCTTCAGTCAGGCTAGGAGAGGATCCTGCAGTGGATATTCTGCATTCATGCAATTCCTACTCCAGGGTTTCTGGATACTTTCTCTTCTCAACAGCAGAGAAGATCTTTACACAAAGAGATGGAATTTATGTCTGTGTGTATGGAGACCAATTAGCACAAGGGCCTAAAGCTGGGTGGGTGCTGTGGGAGGGGAGGGGAGGAGTGAGAGGCACGTCCCAAAGGACAGTAGGATGTGCCTGAGCATACACCTTACCCCATGGATCACGTAGCCTGGATCGCTGTACAGCAGAAGTGGGGTGATCCGGGAATGGTTGGCGTAGTGGAACCTCTTTGGAAACTCTTCCTTCTTGTAAACGTGCAGCTTTGGGTGGGCGTTTTTCAGGACCGAGTACACGTGCTCCAGTTTCCCTTCCTTGGGCACCAGGAGTCCGTTTGGGCCATAGTCTAGGAGCTCGAAGTCGATGTCCTTGAAGGTGAAGTTGCTGACGGTGCGGAGGTGGATCTCGTCGGTTTTCACCACGGTCTCCATGCCGTGGTCGGATGTGATGATGAGGTTCAGGTTTGACTCCAGGCCGCTCTCCCGGATGCGCTGCCTCAGGTAACCCACGGTTCTGTCCACCTGCTTGATCATGTTTTTCCTCTGTGTGGATTCAGGGCCATACTTGTGTCCTGAGGAGTCTGGCTCCCCAAAGTAGAGCGTGATGAAGTCCAGGTTGTCCACCGTGAACCATTCCATGACGGTGTCAATGCTCTGCCTCCAGTTGGTTTCATTGCTGTAGTTGAACAGTGCTGGTTCCACCAACTTCTTGTACACTTCTTCCTTTTGGTATTTCGCCTTGGTTCCAGGGAAGTGGATGGAGCCTGTCTTCAAACCCTGTGAGTGGAGGCATTCCATAAACTCACCTGAACTCTCTGGGCAGCATCCTTCCATCTGTCAGTGCAGCCACCTCCTAACACGATTAGTTCATTCAGTCCCCAATGCCTACCTCTGCCTCTAATGAGGTTTTCTTGCTCGTTGCCAATTAAAAGTGATTAATTGAAAGCACTGCCCTTGCACCTGGTTCCTTCTCTGTGTTTCAACACCAGTTAAAACTTAGGAACCAGTGACCCATTTGCACCTTGCATGGGCCCTCCACCTCTTGACCATCAAGGCATTAAGGTGTTTTATTGAAGTTAGATGAGCCAATTTGGCAGGTAAATGTGGGCAAAGGTCTTGGGCTGGGTTTCATGTCCTGCCTCAAAGCTAGGTGGAAAACCTGCTGGGCTTGCTGCAGCTCCCAGGGGAGTGGTCCCTATGGCTGCCACCACCCTGGATGTGCCTCGGGCTGTGTGGGGCTCCCAGGCTCAGGATGCTCCCTGAGGAACCGGCTGAGGCTTCTTTAAACAGGAACAGGACAGCCTGCTTTATTAATGTCTTAATAAAGCTGAAATGCATCTATTATTTTTTGCTATTTTTAGTAGAATGATCATAATTATTCCTGCCAGAGTCTGGGGATTTCAGTTTTTCGCTGGTCTAATTAGCCTGACGTTCACAGGGAGGCTGGGATCTCACAGCCACCTGGGATCGTGGTGTGCCTGTGGCTTTTCCTGGGGGATGGCAGGGTGGGTGGGTCTGTGCAGGGTCTGTGTGTGTGAGGAGGTGCCACACTTGCCTGTCTCTGGGCAGTGATCCAGATGGGGAGGCTGCCGTTGTCCCACCAGCTGCTTATGCCTTGTGTGGTGTAGTAGGGCAGCTTCACGCCGGTTTTGGTGTCAAACCACATGTTGTGGATCACCCCGTGGTTCTCCAGGTACCGCCCTGTGGGAGAGATGAGGGGAGGGGGTGAGCCAGGCTGTGCTGGCTGTAGGGCAGAGGGGACCTTTGGCCTCCCCTTCCTACCCTTGCCCTGTACCAGGTGGGGTCCCGGGGCAGGCAGGGAGATGCTGGGGGAGCGCTGCTTCCCGTGTGGGTTGGTTGGTGCCTGGTGGGTCTCACCTGGGCCCAGCCAGGCACTGGCACCCCCTGCAGCTGTTGCTGCCCTCTGGGCCGGGCAGGTTCCCATTACTGGGTGTATCTGATCCCATGGTGTTTCACTGTTATCTGGGTGTATCTGATCCCATGGTGTTTCACTGTTATCTGGGTGTGTCTATCCCATGATGTTTCACTGTTATCTGGGTGTATCTGATCCCATGATGTTTCACTGTTATGTGGGTGTATCTATCCCATGGTGTTTCACTGTTATCTGGGTGTATCTATCCCATGATGTTTCACTGTTATGTGGGTGTATCTGATCCCATGGTGTTTCACTGTTATCTGGGTGTATCTATCCCATGGTGTTTCACTGTTATGTGGGTGTATCTGATCCCATGGTGTTTCACTGTTATGTGGGTGTATCTATCCCATGGTGTTTCACTGTTGTCTGGGTGTATCTGATCCCATAGTGTTTCACTGTTGTCTGGGTGTATCTGATCCCATAGTGTTTCACTGTTATCTGGGTGTATCTGATCCCATGGTGTTTCACTGTTGTCTGGGTGTATCTATCCCATGGTGTTTCACTGTTATGTGGGTGTACTGATCCCATGGTGTTTCACTGTTGTCTGGGTGTATCTATCCCATGATGTTTCACTGTTATCTGGGTGTACTGATCCCATGGTGTTTCACTGTTATGTGGGTGTACTGATCCCATGGTGTTTCACTGTTATGTGGGTGTACTGATCCCATGGTGTTTCACTGTTATCTGGGTGTATCTGATCCCATGGTGTTTCACTGTTATGTGGGTGTACTGATCCCATGGTGTTTCACTGTTATCTGGGTGTATCTGATCCCATGGTGTTTCACTGTTATGTGGGTGTACTGATCCCATGGTGTTTCACTGTTATGTGGGTGTATCTGATCCCATGGTGTTTCACTGTTATGTGGGTGTACTGATCCCATGGTGTTTCACTGTTATGTGGGTGTATCTATCCCATGGTGTTTCACTGTTGTCTGGGTGTGTCTATCCCATGGTGTTTCACTGTTATCTGGGTGTATCTGATCCCATGGTGTTTCACTGTTATGTGGGTGTATCTGATCCCATGGTGTTTCACTGTTATGTGGGTGTACTGATCCCATGGTGTTTCACTGTTATGTGGGTGTATCTGATCCCATGGTGTTTCACTGTTATCTGGGTGTATCTATCCCATGGTGTTTCACTGTTGTCTGGGTGTATCTATCCCATGGTGTTTCACTGTTATCTGGGTGTATCTGATCCCATAGTGTTTCACTTTGGCTGTTGCTCGCAGGCTGTGAGGTCGGTGAGCAGAAGTTTCCCTTGGAAGGGAGAGATGCACTTTGACTCTCACATTTTGTGCTATTTTTATTATTCTGGTCCCGAAGACGGCGCAGTCCCTTCTGCACGCTATCCCCATCCTCCCTCGTATTGATGCTGCCTCCCTGCTTTTGCCCATCAGCAGATTTCATTAGCATGCTCCAGTCTTTTATGCCAAGGTTATTAATTAAAATCTTAAATAAGATTGGCTCCAAAATCGATTCTTCAGGAATTCCCCTGGTGCCCTCCCTCCAGCTTGACAATCTCCTCTCAGCATCCACTCTGTCCTCCTCTCGTAGCCTCTCACTTCCCCACGTTACAGATTTTGTACTAATCTTCATCTTCTCCATCTTAACTAATGATTTCCCATGTGGCACTGTATCAAATGCACTACTGAAGTCCAGAAAGATTAAATTTGGAGCATCTCCCTTGTTTAAAAAATAATTTATCTTATCAAAGGAGGCTATCGAGTTGGTCTGGTGCTATTTACCTTTGATAAGTACAGGTTCAGTTCATGGAATCCCAGAGTGGTTTGAGTTGGGAGGACCCTTAAAAACCATCCCATTCCACCTCTGTGCCACGGGCAGGGACACCTTCCACCAGACCAGGCTGACTCCAAGCCCTGGCCAACCTGGCCTTGGGCATTTCCAAGGGGTGGGGAAATCTGTGCCTCACCAGCCTCACAGGGAAGATTTTCCTTGTGTCTAGTTTAAATCTACCATTCCTGCATCTCTTGCCTGGTCTGCTCTGAGGCTCTGTGTGCTGCTGGGTGCTCTGGGTCCCTCCTGCCCTCGTGTCCTGGCCTGAGCCCTGAGCCCTGCCCTTGCCCAGCCCCTGCAGCTCCCGTGGCCGGGGCACTCACCGGTCAGCAGCGTGAAGTGGCAGGGGCTGGTGAGGGTGACGAAGGCCGGGGTCATGTACTTGGCCTTCACCCCGTCTGCGGCCATGGCGTCCAGGCTGGGGGTGTCCACGTCCTGGTCGTAGTTCCAGCGAAAGCCATCGAAGGACACCAGGAGCAGTTTGCTGCGGTTGGGCGCCTGCTGCAGGGGGATGCAGCTGCCCCAGGACAGGGCAGCCAAGAGCAGCCCCAGGGACAGGAGCATCTTCATTCCCTTGAGCTGGAGCTGCCCAGGTGTCCGGAGAGCTGGCATTAATACCTGCAGGGTGGGACTAAGTTCAGTCCTTATCTAATCTTGCCTTTGCTGATCGGGTGTGTGGCTTCAGCCTGCATTTGCTATCAGGACAAGTGTCCCTTGTTTGTCCTTCTGCAACAGATTATCTTAAGGTTCCTTCTGGGTCAAACAGCAAATCTGTGCCTTCCCTCAGAGCTGTTCTGGTGTGTGTGAGCAGGGAGGGAGGTTCCTGGTGTGGTGGGAGGTTGGGATCCTGCCTCCACAGCCCCCTCGCAGCCCACTGTGGGGTCCTGTCCCCACTCCTGGCCCTCGGTGCCCTGCTCTGTGCTCGGCAGCTCAGCCTCAGAAGGCAACTCACGCTCCAGGGCTGCTTGTGCACCTTGAGATGAGGCCCAGAGGCTCAGGGAGGGGCTTGGGTTTACCCAGGGTTTGCCAGTGTGGCTTTGTTGAGCTGCTCACTGGAGAGGGAGGCTCTTCCTCGGATCCTGACCGTGCATCAACCCCCGGAGATGCTCCTGAGGGTGAGCCCAGCTCTGAAGCCCCCATGTCCCTCTGTGCCCCTCTGCTCCCCATGGGTGACTCTCATCCTCTCGTGCACTGCTGAGCTTCGCTGTATCAGCATCCCATCGTATCAATACCTGCTGGTTTATGGCTTCTCTGGGGTTTAATCATTGCTGACGACTTGTTTCTCAGAAAAACTGAGTTTAAGGCTTTTAGAGTTATGTAACAGAGGTTGCCTTGGTTCCCTGGGCTCTGAACTCACAACCTTTATGTCTTTGCTCATCCTCCTCTGCTCAGGTTGCAGATTTATTCCTCGGTGCTTTGCTTCCTGACTGCCTGCCACCTTCTCCTCACCAAGCAGAGCTTTCTCCACCTGGTTTTCCCCAACCTGTCTGGGATCATTCTTTGATGTTTCTCCCTAAAACTGAGCTGGGTAGATGAGTCTTAGGCAAATGAGTTTATTCTTCCTGGATGGAATGACAGCCTCTTGGTAGTCCTGAGCATCTCAAGTATTCCCACCTGGACTGATTTGTCAGGGGGCACTGGGGTCTCTTCCAGTGTGGGTGTGACATGGGACAATCCTGCAAGAACACTGTGAGAGGTCCAGGGGATCCCAGCAGGGACCTCAGGGCTGACACCAGCTGGGAGAGCAGCCTTGGGCATTTGCAGTGGAAATGCTGGAGTGGGTCCTGCCCTGAGCCCCCAGCCCTGAGCCCCCAGCCCTCCTGCTAACAGAGGGCATGGAGCGGGCACGGGACTAAGGGCACCCCAGCACTGGTGTCTGCCACCCCACACTCCACTCCCTCAGCCCAGTGTGCCTCTCTGCCAGCCCAGCACTGATGTTTACCCAAGGAACTACATGGGATGTGTACTCAAGGAACTATTTTTTATCTGCATGTGTTGCCCTGGGCTCGATATTGTCCTTCAGAGAGGACAGAGCCTCCTGGCAGCACCGAGGGTTAAAGGGCTCATGATAAAGATGATATCGCTTGCCAAGCTCAGGGAAAGTCCTAAATATTGACTGTGCTGTTCTGAGGTGGGTCAGCAGTCCCTGTGGCACTGCTAACAGTGTGGGGAAGGTGCTGATAATGTATTGTGTCCATCTGCTCCTCTGGGAGGAAGGGATGAGTGAGGGGGAAGCACTGCTCCAATCTCCAAGGAATATTGGATGTCACGAGTGTTTCAAGGCACATTTTGATATCAGTATCTGAGGAGCATGAGGCACAGATAAAGAACATCACCTTTGGCCACCCTGCCTGGGGACACTGGGAGCTCCAGCTAAAGGGCTGATTTTGCACTGACAACGCCCCAGGCGCTGCTTCCGTGTGTGGATGTGCCCAAGGGGCCGTGGCTGCCCCACGTCCTGCTCAGCATCCTCTGGAGCAGCAGCTCCAGGCCGGTGGCACCAACCCTGCATCCTTGGAGACACTGCTGAGAGCAGGCAGGGAGCTCCAAGGGCACCACAAGCCTGACCCTGCTGGGGCTGACACTGCCCGCCCTGCACACAAGCACCAGTTAGCTCTCTGAAGATTGATGAAGGGGCTAAAAGTGGAGAACACGAGCCCAGTGGGACTGTCCTGCTCGGTGTCCCAGCCTGTTTCCAGCCTTTGGAAGAAGTGATGTGCTGAGCACCCCATGGGCAAACCTGCAGCTCCCTATGGCACCTGGATGCACGGGCAGTGCTGGGGCAAGCACTGCTGAGCACCAAGGACAGGATAAGCTAAGGATCAGGGTCACTAAAACCTCTGCCATGGCCTAAAGCTGCCCCAGGAGCAGAGCTGGGGGGTCTGGGGTGACTCTGGGGGTGTGTGGAGCTGTTGGGGATGGGATGCAGCTGCAGGTGTGTGGTGTGATGGGTGTGCACCGAGGAGCAGGGCAGCCCTGCCAGGGTGTTGGATGGAAGCAGGAGCTGCCCTGGACTTGGCCCGAGCCCTGAAGCAGATGGGAGGAGGAAGGTGCTCCAGCCAAGCTGCTCGGAAGGGCTGGAGAAGAGGAAGGAGGTGGGAAAGGAAGCTTTGAGTGCTGTGGGGGCTCTTTGGGCAGGAGCTGGCTGCCGGTACCCCCAGGCAGGAGTTTGACTCCTACCCCTGAGCTGCTGCCTTGGTGCCCATGTGGGAGCTCTGGGGTGTCCGCGGGGCTGGACTCGCTCTCCAGCGTGGGGGTGACTGAAGAGACCCCCGAAATGACCCCTTACCCTCAGCCCCTGCAGTGAAGGCTCGGGCAGCGCCCGCGGCACTGGGTGAGGAACCTGCTACGGGCCGGGGGGCTCGGAGGGAGCCGGGAGGGACCGGGGAGGGACCGGGGAGGACCCGGAGGGGACCGGGGGAGACCCCCGACCCCCCGGCGTGGCCGGACTGGGCCAGCAGGGGGCGCTGCGCGGCCGCGGCGGGGGCGGGAGAGGCCGGAGAGTCCCGGGAGCGGCGGGACCGGGATGGAACCGGGATGGAATCGGGATGGAGAGGGGATGGAGAGGGGATGGAACCGGGATGGAACCGGGATGGAGCGGGGATGGAACCGGGATGGAACCGGGATGGAACCGGGATGGAGAGGGGATGGAACTGGGATGGAACGGGGATGGAACTGGGATGGAGAGGGGGTGGAACGGGGATGGAACCGGGATGGAACCGGGATGGAGCAAGGATGGAGCGGGGATGGAACGGGGATGGAACCGGGATGGAACCGGGATGGAACGAGGATGGAGCCTGTGTCCGGAGCAGCGGGAGGGCCGGGAACACCTCTGGGATCAGGGGGGATATTACACCCCACTGGGAGGAGGGATCCCCGGCAGGGATCCCGGTGCTCAGCTGCTTTCCTTCCTTCCTTCCTTCCTTGCCCTCCTCGAGCACGGCCCGGGCTGGAGCGCTCTGGGCCAGCTCTGCCCCCGTGCCTGCCCTGCCCTCCTGCTCACGCAGCTCCTCCCTGCTGGCTCGGGGTGATCGGGCTGTGATTGAGGCCACCGAGCTGCGTTGGTGTGGGAAGGGAGCAGCAGGGCTCGGCATGGATCGGAGCCCTGGTGTTCAGCACTGGGGTCGGGCTGGCTGGAGGAGCGGGATGTGATGGAGCCCGGAGAGGGTCTCGTCTCCAAGGCTGAGTCACAGGCAGCGTTGTGAGAACCCCAGAGGTGGTGCCCACTTGCTGTCTGCCGTTCCTAGCACTAAATTTGCTCATGGGCTGAAAATCAAGACTCCCTCTTGAGGCAGCCCCGTGCGGGGACTCAGCCGGGTGGCTCCAGCCGGGGGGGCTCTGGGGCTCAGGCCTGGGCCAGCCCTGACTCAGCAGCAGCAGCAGCTCTGCTTACCTGGGCTGGTGCAGCCCTTCCTTCTCGGGAGGGTGAGCTGTTCCACGCTCAGACCGAGCTCCTCCTCCCATGCTGGGCTCCCTGGGGAGTGATCTGGCCAGCACTCAAGGTGAGGAGAGGCACAAAAGGAAGAGAGCAGGGAGGAAGGCTCTGCCTCGCTCTCCGCAGCCAGGCACCGGCCCTGGGTGATGTGAGGGGCCGGGTCCCATTCCCCGGTCGCTGCTGCTGAATGCTCGTGGTGATCCCAGGGCTCCTCCTCCTGCTCCTCGCTGGGGTCTGGGCCCTGTGGAGCAGAGCAGGGTCAGCCTTGTGGCTGCAGCCTGGCTCTGCTCTCCCCTGGGACCCCTGCTCTGCACTTGGTTATCCCGGCATCGATCGCTGCCCCCGGCTCTGCTCAGCTTCCCCAGCTAATGGCTGTGTCTGCCTCCCATTGATCCCAGCTGCAGAGCCCATTGATTAACTGCATTTCTTATTACACTGCGTGGTATTTTACTCCTCTCTGTGCTTCCCTCGTGCCAGCTGCTCGCCCCGCTCCTGCCGGGAGGAGAATCCCTCAGCCCAGAGAGCCCCTGCTCCGTGCTGGCCCTGCTCTCCTGCCCCGGCCGCCCTTCCTCCTGCTCTCCCTGCCTGCCTCTTCCTCCAGGGCCGGGGCAGTGCCTCTGCCTGCTCCCTGCCCGTTCTGTGCTCCCTGGGCCCTGCTCCCTGCCCGTTCTGTGCTCCCTGGGCCCTGCTCCCGTGCAGTTCCTGCGGCTGGCACAGCCCTGCCAGGGCGAGAGGCCCTGCCCAAGGCAGGCACTGTGTTCTTCCCTCCCCGACACCTCCACACTCACCATGTGCTCCTTGCTCCGTGCCTCACCTCCTTTCAACTCTCCTGCATGCATCATTCAAAAGCCATAACATTATTTGGCATAAAATATTTACTTAACTGAGCTTTTTGCAAATATTCCCCTCCATTATTTTCCCTCCTTTTGGGAGCAGACACTGCTTCTCCTGTGCTCTCAAATGGCTTCTCTTAAATAATACAGCAAGAACGTATGAACACCAGTAGCCCTTTCCTTCCTCCTGAGATACCCATGAATGTAACAGTGTCACCAATCCATTAGGGCCACACCAGGACTCAGAAACCCCCAGCAGCTCTGCCTGCAGAATCACCTCACTCTGGGCCTGGGACAGGCAGGGA